ATGAAAATAAGGGCATCCTAAGGAAAAGCGGGACATTCTGGTATCAAATCAGAAACCAGGACAGTTTTGTAAATCTGGGACTGTTGCTGGAAAATAGGGACACTTGCCGAGGGTCTGCCAGCAAGGTCTCCCAGGCTTTACAGACCTGGGACAGGCAACCCATCTCCTTGCTATGGGGTCCATCCTATGTCTCTTAATGCTGGGAGACCCGGCAAGCTGATTTGCTGTAAGTCTATGCCTTCCGTTAACAAAGCACTAGAACTGATCACTATGGTGTTTTGGCCATCCTTCTTTAGTATCCCTGCACCCAACCACAAGCCATCTTTGGGCCTGCTGTTCAGAACACCAACCAGGTACCTTCTCCCAATTCGGTGCCTGCTCCAGAAGTTGTTCTCTACTTCCCCTCATCCCAGACCGCAGCAGGGACTGATGGGAATTCAGAAATATATGTAGGGCCACCGGTCAGGGGAAGGCTGCCTGCAGAGGCCCTTTCAGCCATAGGCAATACTGAGCTTGACAAATCAACTTAGTAGAAGGTAGTTTTCTATGTTCCTATCCAGGAGGGAATTCTTTCCAGGCAATCCACTCTGGGCTGGAGAATGGCAGATCAGTAGGAGTAGAAAACAGCAAGAGCTAGTGGACTCAACAGCCTTGGAGGAATGGGCAAACAGGTCAATTTCAGTTTCTCTCTAACTCTCCCCCCCCAATCTTAAATTCAGTTCTTCACATTTCTACATCAGTTTGGGATTTGTTTTGTTTTCAACGTCCTCATCAGCATTTGAGTGCAGGTTTCTCTTTATACATGTTTGCAAAGCAATTTTCTCTCATAAAATGCATTTTTGTGTGTAGCTTTCACTAACCTATTAATTTTTGTGCACACAAATCCCCCCCCCCCAGCATATGCATCTTTTTTTTGTTCGCATGACTGGAAGAACTGCACTGCGCCTTTGTGCATGTCCGGAAAAATGGGCACATTTCAGCAGGTGCATCAATTCAGGAAGGGCCAATGAGGCAAATGTGAACTTCTCCCTCATCTCTATGTGGCCTTGGGATCAAATCCAACCAGTGCTTCTTTCTGCATATTCAAGTGAGGCAAATTCACACTTTCTTAGCAATTATGGGTGTTTCTGCATGCAAAGTCATCTCTTCCCTCTGCAGTAGTATCTGTGCTGCAGATTCAAGAAGAGAGGTTTAGGCAAAACAAAACTCTCTGCCTGCTGAAAGCTAAGCATTCAGGGTTCTAGCCTTTGAATTGCTAGTTTTCTGCATGCAGGGATTCCCCTGCAAAACACAGAGAAATCACTTATGTCTCAGCAGAGGCTTGTGTTACTAACTAGTTGCGTTTCACAGCAGACAACAGGGGACAGGCAGAAGGTAGTTCAGTTAGGACCAAACTAGACTAGGACCAAAGAGATCTGGGATCAAATATATATGTCTGCTTTTCCCTTAGTGGAAGGCATGAAGAAACTATAGAAAGGGTGTGGGGAGACCATCATCACCATTACATGGCACTGGTAAAATAGATATTTAGGTGATCTGGATCTCACCTCTGTTGCATTCTATCCAAGTAATTGCCTTATACTTTCTGCTCTCCTTTCATCACTGTACTGCATGGGTAAGGTCTCTCATCCATTCACATTTTGAAACTATTAGAATTCCATTAGTACCACTGGCACCTTGGTTCTCAAGTGCCTTGGTACTCAAACAACTTGGAACCCAAACACTGCAAACCCGGAAGTAAGTGTTCCAGTTTGCAGACTTTTTTTGGAAGCCGAATGTGCTCCGTTTTGAGTGTTACGCTTCTGATTTGAGGGCCACACTTCCGTGTTGAGTTTTAAGCTGGGGTCTGTCTGTTTTTGCTATTTATTTTGCGTTTTTGTTTTTGCGGCTCTTTTTAGTTTTTTGTGTGTGACTGTGTGGAACCCAGTTCAGCAACTGATTGATTGATCGTGTGACTGCAGTACATTGTTTATTGCTTTCATTTTATGGATCAATGGTCTCGTTAGATAGTAAAATTCATGTTAAATTGCTGTTTTAGGGATTTTTTTAAAAAGTCTGGAATGGATTAATCCATTTTGCATTACTTTCTATGGGAAAGTGCACCTTGGTTTTGGAACGCTTTGGTTTTGGAATGGACTTCCGGAATGAATTAAGTTTGAGAACCAAGGTACCACTGTACTCAAACAGTCTTCCTCCAGAGAGGTCCTGGGACCTGGGAGAGAACAGAGTTCAAATCCCCACTCGGCCATGATGAAGGGTGACCCTGGGCCAGTCACTGCCTCTCAGCCTAACCTACCACACAGGGCTGTTGTGAGAATTTAAAGAGGAAGGGGATAACCATCTATGCCATCTTGAGCTCCTTGGAGACAAAGCTGGGATATGAATGCAATAAATAAATCTCAATAAAATAAACCTACCTGCCCCCCTAAACGTTTAACACTGTAGTTCCAGCCAGCACAGCTGTGCTAAAAACATCTGGAGAGCACTAGGCTGCGGAAGGCTGAACTAAATGGATCTTTGGACCAATCCAGGAGAGTTGCTGTCATTGTTGTTATTGGCAGAAATCTGGATTCTGCACTTTTAACTCATTTTTTTTAAAATGTGGGGACACTGATGATGCTTACTATGAATTAATTGTGAGGCCTGGTCTCAAGTAGAAAGGCAGGGAATATTTAGATATTTTAAACAAACATGTACAAAGATCCAGCACATGGCCTGAGCAAGTCTTCCGCCAACAAGAATAGATATGCTCGATTCCTTCCATGCAAGAGAGAACTTTATTTCTTAACTTCAGCATCAGAGAAAACAACACTGACCCCCCCCACCCATGAACAACAGGCACACTAATCCTAAAATCTCTCCACACACGCCCCCCACCCAACCCTCAACTCCCCTGTTTCCCCCCTATTGCACTAGCTGGAGCTAACAGATACAAGCAAAGGGGGAGGTGGAACGTTTGCAGATCAACACACTGAGCTAATCAGAAGATCCCACTTCTGCCACAAGTCAAAATCACACAGCTCAAAGATCACGCAAGCAGAATGAGAGGTTGATGCATCTGTTTGTATTTTGATTGCCCAAACTTCCCCGAGTGATGATTTGGTTACGTATTTGCGATGTGCTCTGAGACATAAATAAATTCCTGTGGGGAAAATGAGGACACCACCGCACACTCAATGATGGGGTGGCAGTGGCGTAGCATGGGTTGTCAGCACCCGGGGCAAGGCAAGTAATTTGCGCCCCCTAACCCGTGGATTTTAGCACTCGAGTCTCTTCCACTAGATTAGTGGCGCCCCCCCCCCAGATGTTGTGCCCGGTGCGGCTGGCCCCCCCTGCACCCCCCACGCTACGCCACTGTGGGGTGGGGTGGGGTTTGTGGTTGGAAATTCTAGGACCCTGTTTCCAGGTGATTTCAAGGGCTGAGAGCAATCTGCTGCTACTGTGCTACAAACCACAGACAGCCAAATAGATGCGATGTTATTTGTGCACAAGGCTGTGGGTATTTTTGATTTTTAAAAAAGAATGGAAATAGCTGCGGGAAGGTCCGATTTGGATTGGGACCGTGGTTGGAGGCAAAGGGTTAAAGGCCCCCTCCTGATCACACACCTCCCCGCAACGAATGCTACTTACTTTAAAACAAACAATCACACTGTTGCTAACTGAATAATTAAAACATTGCGAATGGTACAGACTGCAATGTTTGAAGCGTGTCGAATAAAACATGCTACTTGAGAGTTGCTTTTCCTTCTTCTCGTGGAGTGAGAGCAAGAGCCAGGCTCAGTCTAGGGTCCCGTCTGCACCATGCATTTAAAGCGGTCTCACACCACTTTAAGCAGTCTTGGCTTCCGCCAAAGAATCCCAAGAATTGTAACTTGCGAAGGGTGCTGAGAGTCGTGAGGAGACTCCCGCAGAGCAGCTTAACAATCAAACGCTCTCCTTAGGGAATTCTGGGCAAACAGGGTTCTCCTAACATCTCTCAGCACCCTCAGAAACTACAGTTCCCAAGATACTCTGGGGGAAGCCATGGCTGTTTAAAGCGCTACTGCTTTAAATGTACAGTACAGATGGAGAATAGGTTGCTCAGGGCAGGTAGTAGATTTGAGATCTAAAGGAAGGTCTCTAAGTGATTTGCAGGAGATCAGCTAGGACTCTGGCTCCCAGATGTTCAATAATAGCAAATTTACACTAAATTAGGCTGCTGAGATGAAGAACGCTTTTTGGAGGGAGATGGAGAGAATCAGAGGTGTTGTGTGTTCCAGTACTGAAATCCATGCTCAAGGATTTCCCGTTCCTTAATTCTAAGAGTATATTTGCACCTGGCTCTGCCTGATGGCTCTCAGGGCTTGAGAGAATAGATCACCAAAGCCTAAAATCTGCCCTTCCTTGGCTTACTGCAACTACTCAGTGTTACAATTTCCCAAAGGAGCAGGCTACCAAACCTCTTACACTCAAAATAATAAAAGATAACCATGCCCTAGTGAAGGCCTCAGCCTGAGACCCTGGAAAGCAACTGATGGTTGACATTAGGGCCGGCCCTGTCATTGGGCAAAGCACAAGGTCAGCTGCCTCGATCGGCAGATGCTGAGGGGCAGTAGTTCCTCCTCCCCACTGGCCATTCTTCCTAAGCCTTTGCATTGCGAATAGATCAAGCTGCACATATAATCGTTCATGTGCCCCCTCCATGAGAGGCCTGGAGGGGGGCAACATGAGAACGGGCCTTTTCTGCAGTGGCTCCCTGTTTGTGGAATGCTTTCCCCAGGGAGGTTTGCCCGGTACCATCACTGCGTATCTTTAGGTGCCAGGCAAAAAACGTTTTCCCCCTATAACTAGGCCTTTGGCCGATTAACACTCTAGAATCATAGAACTGTAGAGTTGGAAGGGACCACGAGGGTCATCTAGTCCAACCCCCTGTAATGCAGGAATCTTGCCTGATGCTCTACCACCTTTTTTTTGCAAGGGTGTGTGTGTGTGTGTGTGTGTGTGTGCTATTGATTTGTGTTTGCTTTATTGTGTACTTTGTGTTCTCATTTTTATTTCTATGTTGTGAACTGCCCCTGTGATCTTTGGATGATATGCAGCATATAAATTCAATTCATAATGATATTCTCATTCATAAATGCAGCAAAGGGGGAAACAAATCATGAATAAATGCATAGATATTCTGTGCCTTAGACTATTCAGCTCTGATCTTCCCTCATATCTTTGGTCATAGGGGAAGAGCAGGAAGGGGACATGTAGTGTAGATATGATGTCTGCTCTTCCTACTGATCTGAAAGAAAAGGAGCCTTTGAAGCTAATTCTGCACAGATTCAGGGGTACTGTGTACTGACCGTGACCATATGTGTGGCCCCACTGTTGCTGGTCTGTCTTGGGTCTCAACATGTTGACGTACCAGGTGGACCAAAGATCTGGTGCATCAAAGGATTGTAGGGGCAGCTCAGCTAGACCAGGCGAATAGTTCACATGGGACATAATTTTGTTTGCCACGATGGCCAATCAGGTGTCTCTGGGAAGCTGAGATGATGATGACAACCTTCCCTAGATACTCTCAAAGCTCTAGGAATGTGACTAGAAGCACCATGGCTCAGTGGCAGGGCACCTTCAGGTTGGGAAACAGACCCCTGTCTGAAACTGGAGGTGCTGCCAGTAAGTGTTGACAACACTGAGCTAGTTGGACAAAAGACCTGATTTGGTGTTTAGCCATTGTGATCAGCAGAGGTTGGCAGACCTACCACTCTGTAAAAATTGGTCTGGTCCTTTCCCCAAGATTGGCCACCACCAACCTCATGGTAGCGAATCCCTTGTATAAATTACGTGATGGGTCAAGGAGACATTCTTTACGCCTGCCCTGAATAAGGCAAATCAATGGGTTCTCAACGAATTGGAGACATTCTCCCAATAGAAGTAAGGCGAAGTGCACACCTGGCCCCTCGCCTCTGTTCGCCAAGACATGGCAAGGCCTTCTCTGAGGGCCCCCGTGTCCTCAGCCCCCTCCTCACTCCCACCACCGGCTTGAATAAAGTTGTCGCCTTTGAGAGCAGCCCCAAGATCACTTTCCACAAAGGTGGGTTGGGTCGCATTGGCGCTGGTAGTCTGCACTGTGTGCCTCTGAGTTTGCATGGAAAAAACCGGGGCCAAATCTCTCTGCACATGCCCTCTCTCCACCCTCCCAGGAAGCACCCTCAGATATCAAACATCTCAGCCTCCTTCTCCTTCCAAAAGGAGAAGCTGCGGTCTATATAGCGGCAAATGTCTTCGTTGCTAAACTCCCCAAGCTCCGAAACGAGCTGGACCGAGTTCTTCCTGCTCTTGGGGTCGAGGGACGCTGGGGTCAGTTCATCTGTGGTCAGGATGGGCTCTTGGACACTGCTGATCAATGTTTGGGATGACGCCTGATGGGAGAGAACGGAGGGTGGGCGGGGCGATGACACCGCCGACCGCTCTGCGGAAGCCGCCTGGTCGGGCTGCAGGTTGTCACCAAAGAACTCCTGCTTGAGGTCCTCGAAGCCGTCCAGCCAGTCCCTCTTGCCGGCCTCTACCTCCTCCATCACCACCTTGTGGAAGTGGCGGATGAGCTCCCAGCTGTGGCTGCCCAGCCGGTCGAACATCTCGTAGCAGAGGAGGTGGCGGAACTTGCGCTCTGCGCGGCTCATGCTCATCTCCAACAGCTGGAAGTAGCCCAGCATGAAGAGGTCCAAGGTGAGGCTGTCGTAGGCCACAGGCGTGCCGCTGATGTGGGGCAGGAAGTGCTCGGGCCAGTAGAGCATGTTGGTGCGGCTCAGGCGGCGGATCTGCCTGGTGGGCACCTGGCTGATGATGCTCCTCCAGTGGGCGATCAGCTTCCCGACCACTTGCCGCTGCTTCATGAAATACAGCAGCCGGTCGTCCTCGCTGGGCTTCCTCCCCAAGGGCATCAGCCGAGCTCCGTCCGAGTTGGCGTTTGCAGCATCAGAGGCGGCCATCTTCCTCTTGGGCGTGGCCTGCCTGACCGACTCCGTGAAGGTCCACTTCTTCCAGTGCTCCAGGAAGAGGTAGACGATCCTCTCCTTCCGCATGTTGATGTAATCCTGGACGCAGCTCAACTCTGTCTGGACCGGGAGGCTACGGGTCATGTGGTCAGGGCTGAACAGTGCCTCCCCGAAGGGGTCTTCCGCCACACATGGGACGTCAGCCTGCTTCGGGAAAAGGACCCCCGCTTCGCTGTAAAGCAGAGGTGCATGAGAGAGAGGGATGGGTGGCTCCAGGCCCATGGTGGAGATCTCTTCTTCCCCGAGCCCACCAAATGGCTCGATGCCGGTGATGTAGTCTTCTTCCAAGATGGGCTCCCGGCCAAGAGTGAACTGAGCTGTCCCCACTGGCAAGGACCGCTTCCTCTTGTACACCCGGCTGGGCATGGCATTGGGCACCTGTGCCTGCATGTGCAGTTCATAATTGGCCTTGAGGTTCTTCACCGACACCCCCCACTGCATGATCTCCTTCTCCACCTCCTCCCGGGTGCAGCTGAAGGACTGCGACCGAGTGATGTTGGAGGGGCCTTCTTTGAGAGGTGGTGCAGCCCCCACGGCAGCAATGCTGCCCGCCTGCTCCGGCCCTTGCGGGGTGACCATGTCCGCCAGGGTAATGGCCTTCCCACCCAGGGTGGCCAGGAGGAGCGCCATGCTCTTCAGGAGGGTGGAGATCTTGCTGCACCAGGCCGGGAGGTCCTCGGCCTGGCCTTGCATGCGCTTGGGGTTGACGGTGAAGTGCTCCTTCGCCAAGGCGGCTGAGACGGGCAGCAGCTGCTGCAGCTCCTGCTCCAGCTGCTCCAGCTGGGTCTCCACCTTCTGCACCTTGTGCATCACCTGGAGGTTCTCGATCTGCCTCTCCAGGTAGAGGATGTCCTCCTCGGTCATGAGCTCCCCGAAGGGCCCCAGGATAGCCTTGTGGGCATGGGAGTAGCGCCAGCCTTCCTGGTGGCTGGAGGGAAGCTATGGCAGGGCAGAAAAGAACAGAGGGCAAAGGGGCTCCCTCAGGACCGTCCTCTACATTTGCCCGGGTTTCGCACACGCCACAAGGCCTTACATGTCCCTTCGTGGTGTAATGGTGGTGCAACACGTTGGCGCTCCCAGGGAGTTGCGCAGGCCAGGGTGGGGCGGGTGGGGTGCAGCAGGGCAGGGGAAAATGGGAAAGTGGTTGGAGGAGGAGGAGGAGATAGAGACACTTACAGTTTCCAGCTCACGTGGCGGGCAGCGAGAGAACCACAAGGAACACAAGGGTGTGATCGACTCAACGGCAGAGGCCGCAGGTATGATGCTCACACATTACACCACCGAGTGATCATGTAAGGCATTTAACACTGCAGTATCGTGCTTTGTAGCGAACGGAGGGTGTGTTGTCTATTAGGGGTTCTTTTTCAGGAAAAGCAAGTAGGTTGGTTGGTTGGTTTTACTTAGACAGACGGACCAAATTGAAGACACGGCAGCAAAGAGTGGAGCTTGGTGGGCCATCATCAGATGCTGGGAACCCCAGCCTTGAGCCGAGGACCCTTGGCACCTACTGCAGGTTAAATGCACTTCAGAGTCAGCCACACCAAGGCAAAGGATGCAGGACCATGCCAACCACATGCCAGCCCATGCCCCTCACCTCTCCGCCTCCCCCCAGCCGGAGCACACAGAAAAGTCTCAGGTGACCAAACGAGGTGGGAAAGAAGAACCCCAAGCCCTGGAGGCTCAATGAACTTGATTTGCAAAAGGGGCTACGGAACCAGGCTGCTCATGTTGGAGACTGAAGCTCAAGGAAGGAAGGAAGGAAGGAAGATGGATCATAGACTCATAGAATTGAAGAGCTGGAAAGGACCCCAAGGGTCCTCTAGACCAACTCCCTGCAATGCAGCTAAGGAGGGGTAGAGAGATGGCTAGGATTGATAGGTAGATAGATACAGGTGTCCATGGGAACAATCTGCTAGTGGGGTTGATATAACTGTATCTCATCATACAACACAGTATGGTTATGGAGGGGTGCAGCAACTGGTGCACCCACAGCTCATACTGGCCCGGCAGGGAGGAGCAGGGAAATGTAACTGGTGCAGGAATTGTCCCTAGGCCCCTGCAGGAAGCACACGAACCTGCCCAGCTGGCAGAACGATGCTGTTGTCACTCTGCAGCGGAGGGGGATGTCTGCTCATCACAAGTCCTTACCCCCCCCCCTTAGCTGGAGCAACAGATTAGATTGCAGCCTGTATTGCTTGCCTTTGACAGAGTGTCCGAGCCAGATGGATGAAGGTCCAGTGGGCCAAATCTGGCCACTGAAGCAAGTTATTCCGATGAATGTAGTGATCATAATCGGAGTCCTTTCTGTTACCTAGAGCCAATGGTGGTGTAGGGGTTAGTGCGTTGGACTAGGACCTGGGAGAGACCAGGGTTCAAATCCCCACTCAGCCACGAAGCTCACTGGGTGACCATGGGCCAGTCACTGTCTCTCAGCCTAGCCTACCTCACAGGGTTGCTGTGGGGATTTAATGAGGAAGGGGGAAACCATCTATGTCACCTTGAGCTCCTTGCAGAAAATGCTGGGATATAAATACAAAAAAGAAATCATAATAAAATAAAACCGCCCCTCCTGAACGTTTTAAATAGCCAGCATAACTGTGCTAAAAACATTTGGAGAGCATTAGGTTGTAAAAGACTAAGCTAGATTGATCTTTGGACCAACCCAGTAGAATTTTTGTTATGGTTGTTATTGGCAGAAACCCAGATTTCTGCACTTTCTTTGGAGGAAAGGATAAATGGATAAATAAATAGAAATGGTAATGATAATAGTAGGAGTAGGAGTAGGAGTAGGAGTAGGAGTAGTAACAATTGCATTTTAATCCATTTCTAGCTTATCATTGATTTCATTTTCTGAACAGTTTAGATAGCTGTTCTTCTGGATCATTGCCTTATTCTTTCTGTAAAGCCCTTTTGAGATTTTCCCCTTACAACCAAGCGATGCACAAACCTTGTGAAATAAAACAAATTTAGAAAACCTAAACAACAATACTGTATTGGAAGGACCACAGGTGTCCTAAAGTAACGTTAGGGCAGCTTCCTAAGTAATTTTCAAAGGTTCCTGCCAGCTAGCTGAGGCAATACAGTGGTACCTCGGGTTAAGAACTTAATTCGTTCTGGAGGTCTGTTCTTAACCTGAAACTGTTCTTAACCTGAAGCACCACTTTAGCTAATGGGGCCTGCTGCTGCGGCTGCGCCACCAGCGCGCGATTTCTGTTCTCATCCTGAAGCAAAGTTCTTAACCTAAGGTACTATTTCTGGGTTAGTGGAGTCTGTAACCTGAAGCATCTGTAACCCGAGGTACCACTGTACAGAGCTTGGTGGATCAAAATGATCTGACCCAGGAGAAGGCAGTACCCAGGGGTGGGTGGGGGTGGTTCCTCCCAGGAAACCCACTCTGGGCTGGAGAACGGTAGATCAGGAAGGGGAGGAGAATCCAGAAAGAGCTAGTGGACTGAGCAGCCTTCCTCAGCCTGGTGTCCATGCTGTTGGGACTCTCATCAATCCCCTAACAGTCTAGCCCAATGGTCAGGGGTGAGTTCAGAAGCCCTTGAAGGGGGTCTTGAGGCCATGGGGCCAAGGGTTGATGCTTTCCTCAGAGGGATCCTCACAGCAAACACAGGTGACAAGACCAGGGCACGCAGCACCACGCCATGCTGACCAGCCCCCTCAGGCCCCCCCACGCTTCCTACCTTGCGCCTCTGCTCTTCCTCTTCCTGGATCTTCACCTGCAGCTTGCGGACCATCACTTGGCGCTTCCACTCCGGGATGGGTCTCCCCTGCTCATCGTGGGTGGGGATCAGGGCCTCAATGTCCACCTGGCCAGCCGCAGCTGACGAGGAGGGCGACAGCGAGGAGCCATTGACCACTGGCTCCGGGGAGGCCGCCGGTCTGGGCGCGGGAGGCGCATCCGGGGTGGACGGAGGGGTCGGTGTCCTAGTAGGGGAAGGGGAAGATGCAGGAGCCTCGGCCTGGATTTGGGTGGGGTGAAAAGGAGCCGAGAGTTAGGGACGAGAGTTCGGTTTGCACTTACTTATTTCATAAAACGGATAAACCGCTTGTGTGTAAAACAGCGGTCTACCCAAAAGAGATAAAACAAAAATGTTATCATAAAGAAAAATGAACAACAGCCCTGTTTTGAAACACGTAAGCCTGTTTGCTGTTGCTAACCACCTCCTTGAATGGCCCACTGGACCAATTTCAAGTAGGGCCAGATCCGTGGGAGGTTTCCCTGTCCTTACAGCCTGTGTGATCCAACACCCATACACTTACTCAGTAGACAGATTCTTTATGACATTGTCACTCAACAAAGTGAGAGTTTGGTGGAGGATCAATGTCAAGGTCTGAAGTTGCGTCTAGTATCTTGCCAATGCTACCCGTCTGCCGGCTGTTAGACAAGGTCTTCCCATCAAGGGCTGTGATCAAGCATCGCAGGGGTAACTCCTTGGTCTGGAGGGCACAAACCAACCAGATTATCTGACAACCAAGCGTGACTGATGGTACCACCGTCTCAGCCAGTGGTTCCGCCCCATTCCCCAGAAACCTCTTCTTGATGTTTTGACAGGATCTCCAGGCACTTGGCAATCATTTTTAAATCATTCCCATGCCATTTTTCACACATTTTTTCACACACATACATACACACAAATAATCGGACGAGTCAATATTCTTCTGTAGTTATTTACCAAGCAAAACCAAATTATGTCAATTTAACCAAAATATCTTTTGAATTCCCAAGTCATGTTACAACTTCTTTGCCCATCCTCATTTTTGGAATTGGAAGTTGAAAAATTCAACATGCCCCAATATACCTGTGGTTACGGAGTGCCCATGTGCCTCCAATACTTGTATAAGAAATAAAAGCATGCCATACATGGGGTGGGGGGGACACCTACAGCCATTTGAGCTCTTCTCTTTAGATACTTACTGTTTGGGGACATTTTGGCAGGCTTGAGGAATTGCCTCAAGGTGGATTTTGGAATTTGCTTTCTGCCCAGAGTGGCTAGGGAAACCCAGCCGGATGGGCAGGGTATAAATAATAAATTATTGTTATTATTATTACTGCTGGGAACAGTTTGCAAGAGTGCAGCCACGTGGGGCAGCATTCTCTGCAGCTGGAGTGAGGAATCCCCCCTGCCAAAAAAACCAGCCTTGTTTTTGCATTAGTAAAAGCTTAAGGACCCCACTGATAAGCCCCCATCTGCTGCCCACCCCCACATCCTCTAAGGGCGATGCTGTTGAACTGAGCTCCAGAAGACTCCTAGACTCCTCTCTCTCTCTCTCTCTCTCTCTCTCTCTCTCTCTCTCTCTCTCACACACACACACACACACACACAGCAGCCAATCAGCTTCCCTGCTTCTAATTACAAAGAGTTAATCCTGCTCCAAAAGCCTCTTTGGGGCCTCTGCCCTCCCCCCCACTCGCACTTCTAAGGAGGATAAGGAGGAACGTGGTTGGCAAACAGGCAGGCAACCCAGTCCGTCACCTACGTTGGTGGCTGTCTGGCCAGAGCCCGAGAAGATGGTGGTGAAGCCCTTGCTCTGGGGTGTAGGCTTCAGGCTCTTCCCGGCTTTGATTTCTGCCAGCAGCTCTGCGTTGTCACCGGTCGGGGACATCATGTTGAATGACTTGGTGCCTGAAACAGAGGTTGATGGGGAGGGCGCATCAATTTCAGCCCCTCTCACTTTCTCATTTCTTAAATTCAGTTTGTCCGGATCTGGCCCAATCACCTTCTAAATCCAGCCCACGGGCGGTCTGGGAATCAGCATGTTTTTACATGAGTAGAATGTATCCTTTTATTTAAAATGCATCTCTGGGTTATTTGTGGGGCATAGGAATTAGTTCATTTCCCCCCCTCAAAATATAGTCCAGCCCCCCACAAGGTCTGAGGGACAGTGGACTGGCCCCCTGCTGAAAAAGTTTGCTGACCCCTGACTTAGGGCTTACATGAAACCCAAGCCACTTCCACGTGGTGGTTGATCATGACCTTGCTGCTGTTCATACATTTGCAGCATCTACGC